TCCATCAACTATGAACCAGGCACACCAATGTGCTGCTAAAATCCTGAATTTACAGAGGGGTAAAAAACCTTTTTTATTAGCTGCCTTCAGTTTTATGGTTGGGAAGAAACAAATGAAAATTCCAAAGTAAAATGGTAAATTGTCCCAAGTCAGCATCTAAAAATGCCATTGACATCTTGTATAGCAAAAACATCTAGCTACTGTTGTTATTGTCATAGATGTGGTACACATTGTACATGGTTCAGATTATACACTGAGGAACAGTTATCAAGGATGTGTCATAAAACATGGAAAAATTCAAATCAAAAAGTAAAAATTTGAGTGAAAATGGGAACTTACATGATCTTAACTCTAACCAGTCATTGCAAGACATTCGTCACAGTAAGTGTTCTACTAGAGAACAGTGTAAAGCCACAGGCAACTGGGGACCTGATTTTCAGACAAGAATTCTAGACTGCAGCATGCCTATAATGCTAGAAAAGGAACACTGTTAAATGATCAATGCATCAAAAATATTCCATTTGAAAAAGCTTGAATAACTGAACTGACGTGTTGGGCTGGGTAGGGAAGGTAATTTATTGTAGCACTTGGACAGAGGACTTGCAGCTTACAACAGATGGCAACACATTTTATATTAAAACATTTGATCTCCCTTTGGTTTTGTCATCCTCCCTCAACTCTTAGAAATTTCCTTGGGATCCTTATTATTCCTCATTGCTTTCTCCTGTCTTTTGTGATTCCAAAAGAAAAACAATTATCTGTTTCTCTTTTGGAAAAAAATGGAACAGGAAAACTCTACATTATGAATGGTGTATTTTTTTTTTCAAAAACTGAAGAAACTCCATAGAAAGTCTATGTCAGCAATGAAGGTGGCTGCTAGCAAAAGCATGCTTCTCAAGTGCAAAGTTAATACAACTAATATTATTATTTTAATAATATATTAGTCTTAATATTATCTACCATTTATTGTAATTAACACAATTTGATGCCAGAACCGTGGTTACTTTGGTATAACTTGTTTCACTTTCTCAATGTACCTGCTTTGTTGACATAACTGCTTTCACCACAGGAGCATTTTGTGTGTTCCTATCTCCACTGGTTGTACCCTCTTAGTGTAGATGGACCTAACTGGGGCCAATATTTCATTTAAAGGTAGACTTTGTATCAAGACACCTACAAAGAAACATAGCCTGACTTTAAGAAGTTTGACCTGTGAGATAAACAATGCTCGAAAGACCTGAGCAATTTTAAAAATGACCCCTTTAAATTGTGCACCAGGAAAGTTTGTAATAAAAAAGGAGAAACTAGACATTGCAAGACCTGATTTTGGATAGGAAGAGAGAATTTGAACTGAAAATAATTACTGATTCTCTTTGTGTCTCAAGAAAGGGGTATTCACAGTTTTCCTGTGGAAGTGGTTAACATGTAGTTACCTTAGTAATGAAATTCCCATGGCATTAAGCTGCAGAGCATAAATGGAAATTATGATAGACTGCTTTGATTTTATAAGCACTGAGACAGTCACCTGTATGAAGAGGCAACTATTTACTTACTTATTTTAATACAGCTAAACATTTAGAGCCTTAACTTGTCCCAGTTCTGTCTTGTAAGGGAGGGATTTGACTGCACTGCCCCTAGATCAGGCATCTTCTCCAGCCTGCTCCTCCAGCAGCAGGCAACTCAGAGCGGTCTCCCTGGCTGTACTTTTTTCTGTTAAATCCCATTATCAGTCAGTATAACTCACCAAATGCCACCACTTACTATTTCATTCCATCTGCAGATGTACTTGGTAATCATTTCGTATTTCCTTCCAGTTAACCAATAAAGCTGTTGAACAGCATTATGCCAAGAAGAGATTCCTGTGAGTTCCCACTAAAAGTAACCCTTGAGATGAATACTCCCCAGCTATAAGCACTTTTCAAGATGCTTTTGTTATCCCATTTTTAATCCATTTGTTAACTCTGGATTATACTGATTTTACTCGTTATTACATTTTGGTTTTAACCACCGTGTCAACAAGACCAAATAAATGTCATAAAGTAGTCTAAGTGTATTAATGTCAGCACAGCTATCTCTGTCAACTTCATTTCTGATCTTGGAAAAAGCAGTATCAAGTATGTTTGACAAGATCTATTATCCATAAAAACTTGCTGGCTGGCATTTGGCATGATGTCCTCTCCTCACATTTGTTGGAGATATTTAGTCTCAGCCTTCCAAATATTGTCCTTGACCTATAGTTACCTGGATCATCTTGTTTAACCTTTAAAAATTCTGGCACAACATTTGCTTTTTCCAGTTCACTGAAACTCACCTCAGAATGCCAAGATTTGTTAAAAAGCAACAATAATGGTTTAGACAGTTCAACTCTATTAATATTCTCCTGTGCAAGGTTTCTGATCTGACAGAAAATTAAGGAGGAAATATATAGTTACTGAATTTTACTTCGAACTTCAAGTTTACAAGAGCTGAACTCCTACTAGAATCACTTGCCAGCATTTTCATAATGAAGTGGAGAGCCCCCTTCAGCATCTTTGCTACAATGCTTCAAAGAATCTCTAGTGTTTCTGTATCTCAGATGCAAAATGCATGAAATATTATAGGAACATTTGGGGTTTTTTTTCCTCCTTTGTTATTTCTCTCTTCCTCCCATCATTTACCTATATTTTATGGAAAAGCCTGGAAGTTTTACACAATAAAATCAAAGGACACATACCTGAAAAAAAAAAGAAGCAAACTTTTGTGCGGTCTTGTAAACAACATTAATGGTTGTGTCTGAAAATTTTGGGTTCAGCTAATATTAACAAATAATCAGTGTAATAGCCCTGTTTTTGGCAAACTCCATAAACTGTAGGGGTTTGAACTCAGACTGTAGTTAAACACTAGCCATTTAAATCTGGCCTGCATTATTTCTGAAGCTGTGGAGTAAATATCTTTCATTTTCTGTTGTGTCTTATGGCATTTATAGTAGCTGGTGGAAAGCCAAAATGCTTTCTTATTGCCTTACTTCATCTGAAAATACAGATATAAAAACCTTTTGGAAAAAACGATGACAGTAGTAAAGAAGGCTCAAACCTAATGTAAGAAGCTTTTTTAAGAGATTAGTGGATTCATCACTGGTTCTAATTCTAGTTTGCTGAATGGAATTCCTAACAAACTGCCAGGTACATCTACATCCATATCTAGCATCTAGATTTCAATATGCTCAGTTTGAAGTATATTGGAATATTTCTTCAAATATTTAACTTCAATTTTCACTCTCTTATGTGTGCAAATTCAACAGAACAGCAAAATACAATGTTTTTGTGTATGCCTTCATTATGTGTGGATCAAATAATAAAAAATTTTTACCCTCTAGGTAAGAATGTAAGAGCAGCACAACTTACCATTAACATCTAAAACTGCATGTTGAATTCCCTGTAAAATGGCAAAAGTGATTGCTTGCTTGTGGGAGATGTTAGCTAGAGTAACTTTTTCCTTACATTTGGCTGATCCCACCATTCTTGATCGACTTTTAAAGCCTCCTGAATCACCACACAACACTAACTCACCTCCTGACGTATCAAGAGGGATAAAAAAGGTTGGGTTTTTTTTCACATCAGGAAAAGGTACTGCATTTATACACTGTTATACAGAATGTCCTACAACCCAAACAAAACAATGTAAAATAATTCTAGGATTCTTTACGCTTTGGTTACATCTTTTGGTGCATGTCTCCAATGTCTAAAAGCTCTTTCTAGCACGGTACACAATGGCTTGTTTTTAAAAGTAAACTTTGTCTGGATGAAATTTTATTTTTGTTAGTTCCTCTTTTTCTTTCATCTGTTTGTGCACCAGATTTGGAAGACTTTTTATAAGCTCCATTATTAGAGAATGTGAAACAACAGCTAACACAGGTCAACTATGGACTCTCAAAGAAGTGTTTCAAAAAACCAAATCATACAGAAGTACAGTAAATCTTCTTAATTTGAGATTCTTTGCACAGGGATTCAGTTTCCCAGGACTGAAATAGTTTTGCAAGTGGAAGAAACAACTCAAAATAATGCATCTAATGAACACCAGTTATAGTGACCAACAGAAGCAGGCTAAAGCAGTACCTTCTACCTGCTGGGATTCTGGTTCTCTGTACAAGACATCTCTTGGGTCTCGAGGGCTTATTCTAAAACTGGCTTCAAGTCTTCTGACAGGATGACATCTATTTTCCACAGGTTTGTTGGTTTGTTTCAGCATGTGAAACATGAAATATTTTTAGTAAATTCTATATTTACCAACACAAAACATAGGGTCAATACCAAGTAAAATATTGGTGATGCTGGTTACAAATCCTTTGACAATGTTTCTCAGTTCCCCTATCAGCTCTAGAGTAACAGAACATTTTCCATTAGCTAAGAGACTTACTACTTCTTGCAGTCGAAGAGTGGAAAGAAGACTATGTATACAAAATAAACCCAAAATGTAAGTTTCAATTTATTTTTTTAAAAGATTTTGAAGCCCTGTAGTATTTTCCAATATGAAAACAGCTAGAGGTGGAAGTGGTATGGAGACAGAGCCATGATGACACTTGCGCAGCTCAGTTTACATACATAATTACCCTAAGAATGGTCTAAAACTTCAGAAACTTGCATCCAAATTTCTCTTTAGAGCCAACATAAACCCAATGTAAACAATTTAATGTACCTAAGAAAAAGAAGATATAAGATACATGTACGTTTTGCCTGTGCTGCCAAAAATTACTTTAGTTGGCATATCACTACTGAAGCATTTGTTAACATAATGTTATTTACTTCTTGTTTTGCCAAACTGCAATGTTTATTTTGTACCTGTGCATGTTTGTACTTTTATGTTCTGAACACGATTTCAAAGAAATGGGGATTTGTGCAAGAAATATTTAGTCTATCAGTCTGAAACACTCAAGGCAACATCCCTAGAGCAGTATCATGCAAAAAGGCAATTTCCCTTTTTCATTTATGACCAGAAGTTATGAAGAAAGACAAAAAATTTACCCGATTCCTGGAGATAGCGATACACCAAGAAATTCACTTCGTCACTGGTTATGCTCATCTTAGCCCAACCTCAATATGATGAGGTTTACGAGAAGTGTGATCCACGCTCTGTTCAAGGGAGAGAAAAGAACAGGTTTTGTTTTATCTTAATTTACTATGAAATGTGTTATCAAAACAGAGGTGGGAATTGTTAAAGTATTTAAAGATGTCATAAAGTTATTAGAGCTGTAACATCCCAGTGTGAGGCATCCATTAAATATTGTGAATCAAGTACTCAGGCTGTACTGCACCTTTCAGTGCCATTCAGGAGCAGTATTTAACATACATGAGAGAGTCAGAGGGAGCATTTTAGATATTAGAAGACTTGTCTAATGTCAACTCCTTTACTTGTGTGGCTTTCCTACAGGCTCTTCGGAGACTCCTCTTTCCTGTGTGAGCGCTTTTAGAATTGCTGGCAATTACAGTCATATATAACACACCAAGTTGCAATACTTTTGCTGCTCTGAATTTGTAATCCAATTTTTTGTCCAACTGTTCATCCACTGAGGACAGAGACCCTCCTTACTGAACCATGTTATGCAATGAATGGGGCTGGAGGGGAAGAGAAAGAGAGAGAACACCATATATACCTTGAGCCAACAAGGAAGACAAATATCCTTGTATTATACAAAGCTGTAATATTATAATGTCACTGTTCATTAATGTTGAGCAAGAATTAAACTCCAATTTTTCATTTAAGTAACTGCAACCTTTAGGATGACGGTTCTACACTACTATTTTGGGCATATACTCTGGTAATAAAAATGCTGGGTTTAGATGATAAATTTGTTTTGAACGTTTTCCATTAAATCTTGATGATTCACTCCTGTTTGGGAATCTGACTTAAGTAGTTTGGTTTTAAAAGACCTAAGTACTCCTCAGACATAAACTTTGCAGCTGTGTCAGCCACACCATACCCGTGAGTGATCACATACAGCTTTGGCCGCAGAGGCGCGCATGCGGCTCTGACCGCGCGCTACGAATGAAAGACCGTAGGCGTGTGCCGGGTGTTTTGATTTCCCGTGTGTCTCTTCTTGGCAAGTGGAAAGGTCATCTTTGTTCATCGAAAACCTCTCCAGTAATTCCTGCTGCCTAAAGTAGCACCTGCTACTGCAGGCGATGGTGATCGACAACGCTTCCCCTGCTGATGGTTTAAACCAGCAGGTCACTCCTGACTGTAACAGATGTCTTCGCATATTTATGTAAATGCAGGTCTTTCGAACCTTTTATTATCCTGGGCTGTATTTCATCAATAGCTTGGATGCTGGTTTTTCTTATGAAACCATAGCTTGTTATTTTGGCAAACATCTTCCTCAAATACTTGAGTCCTAATTGTTACAGTTTACATTTCATGGAGAACAAGAAGAAGTACTGAAAATCATTCAGTCTCCATAAGGAAAATTTCCTGTCTTTTGGAAAGGGTAAATGCTTTCTGCTAAGATTCTGGCTGTGGACAGCATCAGCTGTATCCAGCATCCATCCCTGTCACACATGCCACGTACTGCCCTGGGAAGCCACTCAGACTCTTTTCTCCTCAATCCCTCATCTGTAAAATGGGCTTAAATTTCTCTGCCACACAATTGGGAGACTGGAAGCACAGAGAGTGGTTAGGATTGAAGTTACCAAGGCTGGCAACTTCAGGCAGTGAATGCACCACTTCAACTATAACTTTATACACACTTTTTCCAGATAAACAGGCTTGGACCTGAATATTTAATAGCCTCCTATGCCCTTTTTGAATAATCATTGCTGTACAATGAAGAACAGGACAGACATTCACAGCAACAGTTAAGGCCAATTTAATCTCTGAGTGCTTAAAATACATCTGTATCGTTGTTATGGCCGTGATAGTAATAAATCAAGATAATTTGATCGCTGTGAGTTCAAAAAAAACCCCACTTCTAAAAGCATTTTAAAAATAGCTGCTTCAGAGTTTGGTGGTAGGAAAGTTGGTAAAGATGAAACCGCTTACAAAAATTCAGTTTCAGCAATGACGTACTCTGTGGTAAGATGAACTTTATTAAAAAAAAAAATCAAAACCTTCAAATGCCATTTTTAGGTGCATCCTGACAATTTTAGATATTAATATGGTATTTCCCACATACAGAGGGTTTCTTTGGGAAAGGGGAGGCAAGGGAAAGGAAGAATGCTGGGTTTAGTTTGTTTTTCTAAAGATGACTTTTCTGAAATAAATTAAAATCAGAGAAAATCAGTATGATTGCAAAACAGTCTCCCAGTTCCAGAAAAAAAAAAACAAACCTCTACAGCAGCTACCTTTGTATCAGAATCCCAACTATACCCAGTAATAGTTGAATTTACAATGCATTTTCTCTGAAGTCAGTCAACAGGAATTACTTTGACACGTGTCAGATCATATCTTTATACACACATTGTTATCATGCCACAAATAACCAGATGATCTCCACTTAAATATTTAAGGTTTCTTCTCTCCCACTGATGTCAGTGTAGCAATCAGATACACAGCTGTAAAGTTTCTACCTGTCTGAAGCAAGACATAGATTTTGCCTTTTACCCAGAGAAATCTATTCATTAGAAATCTGGCTGGCCACACTCAATTTCATTAATGCTCTTTTTGATTCCCTTCTTCTCTGCAAATATACAGTACAAATAAAAGTAGCTAAAAAAGACATGGTGGGGAGGAGAGGAACATCCTTATGTTTTGTGTATCTCCACAACTGACTTATAAGGAACAAACAACTAGCCTCTCCCTCAATATATTTTTTTAAATGAGGAAATGTAAACTTCTGTAGAAAATCACAGAAACTTTAAGTCACCACTGTGATAGATTTATTTCTGCTAATTGATAGCCTCCTTTTGTTACTGACAACTGGTATTACCTAGATTAATAGCTTTTTAAAAGAAATGAAGTGCACTTTATAAACATTACTGATGTGCCTTTGGAGACATTTCACATTTAAACTAGCAATAACATCTTAATTCTTCAAAATGTCAAGAGGATTAACAAAAAGCATTGAAATGTGTTTGAACTTTCTTTACTTGAAACACTTTTTCCTGCGGCCAATTACACATAATGGGAAGTACTATTTACTTCAACCTCTAAAAATTTGGCTTGTCATACTGTAGATATTTAAGAATGCTGAAAAATGTGACCTGAGCCAATTAAGACTTCCCAAAGTATAATGGATGCAAAACACACAAACCCCATCAGTGGATGGATAGGTTGTTAAGATAATTGAAAAACACTTATTTTAAATAAACAACTCTTATTTCTATCAGGACAGGTTTGCAGAAATGCTTCCCATATAGGGTTGAAAATCTAGAGTATTACCTCAAATACTACTATTGTGCTTCTAGGGCTGCATGTCTTTTGCTGAAGCAAATGCTTCATTCACCTGGCATTGAGCTGGCTCCAGTGAACTCAGCATGCCTCCCTGTGCTCGGGGAGCCAGGCCAGCCTGCTTCCCAGAGTAACCACAGGACCTGATCTGGCTCTGTGCACCCACATACCACTGCTCTCAAATCAAACCTTCCTGGAGCACTGGGGATCCTGCTAATGGGCCATGCAAGTGGCTCTGGAGAAGGCAGCCTCGCATGTAGCCATGGTTCAGCACAGTGACAGCCAGGTCAGCTAAGAATAGTTTATTATATCCCATCATCCCTTTACTCAAAAGGATTGCTCTTCCTTTGCCAGGAATATTTTAGGACTGCTGCCATAAATAAGGGAGATCTGGCTAAAAAATCAAGGGAAAATGATCTTTTAAATTCTGAAACAGCATCTGAAGACTCAACTCCTCTTCCTCTTTTCTAAACAATGGTCACTGGGTCCCCTGGGGCCATGTCCTGACCCCCAGGCCAACCCCAGGGCAGGGGACAGCCGAGGTTATTTTGGAAAATGAGTTTACATTTGCTATTTGAACCAGCATGCCATCCATAGAGACTAGGAATTACCAGTCAATCTTCCCCTCAGGAAGGCAGAAATAGGTCAGACATTTAGGGAAAACACCTAATCTAAAACCTAGACCTGAAACCTAAATAGGAACTTAAGCACTTCCCATCTGAGCATCCAGCCCTGCTAACAGAAATTTATCAGATGGCTGGTCTGGCTCTTATCTTACATCTTCAAAAATTCTGCAAGCTCCAGTCTGCTTTAACTGAGTGCTAAGCAGTTGTCAAGTTCTTGGGAGAGTTTTTTGGAGGGTTTTTTTGAGTCATTGTGGTAAAAAAAAACACTGTTCCCTTCTTCTCCTATACCCTCTTTGCCTCCAAACTCCAGCTGAAACAGTCACATTTTCATTTATCTCCTGCAGAGGCTAAAATGTCTTTTCACAACTGAAATTTTAATGGTAACAACAACACTGTCATTGAAATGATAGGGAGGAGTAAAGAGAAATTGTGTATTTGCTTTGGGAAAAAAAAAAAGCAAAAAGCAGAGGTTCCGTAAAAATGAAAATCCAGAAAATTCAGACATTTAATGTTGTCGACTTGATGCCCTGCTGCATGGAAACCAGAGTTCACACACTTATGCTCCCATTTTCTCAGCCAAGATGGACCTGTGCACCAAAGAGCATCTCTCACGACCCAAGACAGTCTCCCCATCTCAGAGAAGAGAATGTGGATGTAATTACTGAAACAGACTCTAGGAAGGCACTGTGACAGCACAGCTAAATCAATGTGTTACTGTTTTGTATATGCTCCGCAGTTTAATGAAAAACATTTCCTAAAGCCAGAAGCCACTTCTCACAAAATGAGTCATTTAGGCAATCTCTGTGTTTTCTGTTGAAAAATACTTTCATCAGAAACTTTCAATGAGGCCTATGCTTCTGTATTTCTGGGATGTGTCTTACGTAGAGCCAGAACAGAGTCAGTAGCCAGCAGCTCTTCCCCAAAGGCTAACGAGCTCTGCTTGGCCCCCACCAATGCATTCCTCAGTCTTGGCTTCTATCACAGCTGCCTCTTCTTGTGGAGGAACTCCAGCATGCTGCTTTCTCAAAATGCCAAACCAAGCTTCTGGGAGAGGAAAAAAACACACTCTGCTTCTTCTGCACTCACAGTCTCTCCTGCCATTTCATGAACCTAAAGAGCAAAAC